TACTGTCACCAAGAGCAATTACTCCAGACCCTGAAGGAGGGTAAAGGTAAGTAGCTTCAAAACAGTGTATTTAATCATCTATTTGCTGGTATCTGTGAGTGTTTTGGGGATTAATATTATGACCACACTTACATACCATCTTATTTTTTTTTCTTTGATAGCTTTATGCATTTTTTCCCTTTGTCCTCCATGTGTCTCACTGATGGTACATAAAGGCTGAATGTGTATCTGATGCTGGTGTCTTGGTTTCCACTCCCTGCTGCAGCCCAGATGGCAGCAATGCCCTCCCTTGGCAGCAGAGGTCTCAACAGCCTGCCTCGACAGCCGGAGAGGAGATAGAGAGAGGGTTATTGTACTGATTGTTCTGAGATACAAGGTCGACTCTGAAAAACAGCTAATGACTATTTGTCATTGTCTGATCTTGTGAAACAACAAACCAAACAAACCACTGTGAATAGAATAACACAATCAACACATTTTTATAAAATAGCATCAATGTGGGTTAGTTTTCTCTGACCATGTTCCCCATCCTGGTTTCAGACTGGAAAGCACACAGAGGATATCAACGCTACTGAAATGATCCCCCAGCATCGTTTGTTCTTTAAATTCACACTTCATGGTGCTGCTGCAGCTTTAACCAGTAGGGGGCGAAGTCACATCACAGTGGATCCTCTAGAATCACAAGTTACACAAATCAAATTTCTTTCAGTATATAAGAGATGCACAGAAAGACAATAAACATGTGTACAGCCTGTGGCAATGCCACTTAGAAAGTGCATCAGCTTGATTTGTTGTGGATTTCTGCAAAGATTGCAATTAACAAAAGCAAAAGCAAAAACTAAGAGCTGGAAGTGTGAAAAACTACACACAACCAAACTGTGAAATCTGTTGAAGATGCAGTGCTGCTTGCTGAAAAAAATATTTTTCACTCATCTTTCTAATGTTAGTTAATAAAAAAAAATGCCATTTTGGTTCTGGATTTGACTTCCTGACTTTTCCTTTTACAGGGCAGGAGGGGTGTTAGTTGCAGAGGAACATGAGTCACCTTGTGGTCTGCTTGTGAGACGTGGCCTTTAAAGGTCCATCATGACTATTTCAGCCTTTGGGTATAAGCCAATTATATAGGTAAGGAAGCTGGATTCCCAATTTAGATATGGTATGCTGTATTATTTAAATTTCAGTAAAAATCAATTGCAGCATCAGCACAGCAATACTGGTTATGTACATTTCATTAACATGATGTGAACTGGAGCTGCCTTGGATTTAACATTTTAGAAAAATATGACAAAGACATCATTACAGCAGAGTTGAGGTTCGGGGTAAAGAGGCTGGCAACAAACAAGATCAGGATCAGAAAAGGTGAAGGCTGGAGAGTCACTAGAGCGCTGACAATCGGGTGAGGACTATAGGCTGGTGACTGGCTTTAAACAACACTGAGCAGGTGTGGATGGGTGGAGTGAGGGAGGGGCAGAGACCGTGACCTGGAAGAATAACAAAAGAATGAAGACAGGAGGGGCTGGATCTGAAATGACATGAGGACAACATACTGAAAACCATTAATCCAAACCAACTGAATGACTATGTGGATCATAAACGAATAAGGCCTAAGTCATTATTTAACAAATTATGAAATAAGCTCTACAGTAATATCTTTAAACATCATGCAAGAACATGACAACATGAAGACAGGCTGCAAACTAATGGCAGAATTTTACACTAGTCCTGTCCTTGTATCTGGTGATAATGGACTGGCTGTCACCTCTGAATTCATATAAGGTGCCTCAGTAGTAAATTCACTTTCCCCGTGGACCATTTTATTATCTGTTCTTCTGGGAGAAGGCTGTGCTTATTTGCACTCATCTAACAGAATCACAGCCTCTTGATAGTATCTCATGCTGAACCATCATGACCATCGTGCGTCATCAGCTTAATTCAATGTTTATTACACGGTCTAAAGCCCAAATCTCTGCCATAGATTTTCGTGCTGTACATTGATCACAGAGTGTCAATACTGGTGCTTGTCATCTTGCGGTCATGACTTTTATGTATGTTCCTTTATTTAGGAAGGATTAATGAAGCTTTACCAGGGTGCTAATGAGCCTCTTGTCACTTGAACACCAGGGGTGGGCAATTTAAAGAAGTAGGCAGGGGGGATACGTTACATTTTCAATGCTGTTATATCAACGGCATTTATGTAAAGAAGACACACAGGGCTCTAGGTCAATGCTTCTGCTGGTGATACAGATCAGCGTGGTTACAAAGGTCGTCAGCCAGGAGACTGACTGAAGTACGCCTCCTTTGCCATTTGTCTACCTTTTCCCAAAGGCTGCAGTCTCACACACAGAGGCAAGGTGTCAGTACACTGACAGAGCTGGGACTGCACCATTAATAGCAGGCAAAGGGGGAGCAGAGAGATGAAGTTGAACTGTGAGTGCAGATGAGATTCAGCTGCAGATTCAGAAACAGCCCCCGACACACAACTGGGTTTTACCTGCCTGTGTTCGTCAGCATGTTTAATATGTGACCTGGCAACCTGGCTCCCCTGAGGGTGGAGATAAGGACTGGTGCTCCACTGAAGGTGAATGGGAGTTCTCACAACATTATTAGATGTACAAACATCACTACCATTCACAATTTTCTCTCAAACTGGGAAACATGTTATCTTTCACCTGTTGCCAGTTTTCACCTTCAGAATAAAATCAGTATTAAAAATTGCACTCTTGGATTATTGCATATGACTGAAATCAATCTCTGGGTGCAGTCTGTCTCCTCTCTATTTACTGGGTCTTTAGCAGTCAGACTCCACAGAACTAAGCCCTTGAATATGGCCTTAAAGGCACAGTAAATTGCAGCCCAGCCTGTTGGCTCATTACCCCTCCATTCTAAAGTCAAATTTAACAACATGTGAAATATTAATGCTGCAATCATGGGCCTTTCTGCAGCAGCCACCCCTTCTGCTGTGTGAGATGCATAAAAATAAAATTACCCAACTCAAGGTCAAGATGTTTCAGGTCAGAGCAGAAATAATAGAGAGCTGTGTTGATGCTGTACAGTGAGGGAGCGTTCTCCTGTGGTGCCAGATATAAAATGTGATATTTTATTGCCTGTAGTTAGTCATGAAACTTTTAGGTGAGGAATGCTGCAACATTTTTCTGGCAGGGCACCTGGTGTCTCTGTATTGCATAAATTAAAGGTATGATAAACTATGTATTTATAGGTCAAGATGCACATCAGCAGCAATAAATCACTGGCAGAAAAAACCAGCCCTGCGTTAAGTTGTGTCTTGTAAGGCGGAAGGATGCTGTACTATACTTCAGAGGCTTGTTCACAGTCGTACTGCGGAACATAAGCAGGTACTAGAGAGGGGAAAAAATAGCAAGCACAACAAAAAAAGGGCGAGTAACCATCATATGGTCTGCGGTTGCCATAGCAACTGATCCCAGCAGTCAGCCCTTAGAGAATGAGTCACATGAATGAATTGAAGGAGACAAGAAGCATACTGTGCATACATGTTGTCAGCTGATGCAGTACTATTCGTGTGTGTGTGTATGTGTGTGTGTGGTATTACTCACATTGTGCTTACCGACACCTGTCTACACACTCACATTTTGGGGAGTTGGCCTTCCTCATGGGGACCAGATGGTGGGGATCCACCAAGTAAATTGCTGAATTTTAGGGTGACAACATGGTTTAATTACTCACATTGTGCTTACCGACACCTGTCTACACACTCACATTTTGTGTATTACTCACATTGTGCTTATCGACACCTGTCTACACACTCACATTTTGGGGAGTTGGCCTTCCTCATGGGGACCAGATGGTGGGGATCCACCAAGTAAATTGCTGAATTTTAGGGTGACAACATGGTTTAAGGATAGAGTGAGGTAAGGATTAGGTTAAGGTAAGGGTAAGTCTCCAGGAAATAAATGTAAGCCAATGTAAACTCGCCACCAGGAATGAAAACATGATTGCGTGTGTGCCTTGTGATGGAAGCAGAGAACTACCTGGGGTTTGTATGTTACAGCAGGGTTAAGAGGAAGAGAAGATGTTCAGTAGCAATCTCTTAACACCTTCACTGTGAAAATCTGACACTGACTGAGAAACTCACAAACTCTGGCGTAATAATTCACGCATTGTTTGTCAAGATGTTTGTCGGTGGCAAAGCAAACCATCACTCCTGCAGATATCAGTCTGCGTCTGACACACTAGTAGCATATTCCATCTCTAAATATTCGAATACCCTAAACTTTATTCGTGTCCTTGTTTGTTTCACAGCTGACAATCTTATTTTCACTCTCTAAGCTTGCTCTGGACGAGCGTCTGTCCAAGCTGCATCTGCACTGTTCACCCAGAGGGCCCCAATAGGCTGGCATTATTCTTACAACTCCCTAACACTTATCTCTGAGTTGAGCATGAGCTACATTTTGTTATTATTCAAGCAAATCATTTCATGCAACACAGCAGGGAAACAAAAGTCATGCAAACTTCTCTGTTGTCCTTTTTGTGAAAACAACAAGCCACCCATTAAGGCAAGGGAAAAAATACGGAGCAGTGGGTGATAGAGCAAAGAGCTGAATAAATTGCTGGAGGAAAATGACCCTTCCACATATTATCTACACTTGGGAAACTGTTATCAGGGTGCACTCTTTTTTTACACACCTATTTCCTTCTTCATTACTTGGAACAGCTAATTTTAACATGTCTAAAAACATCAAGCACCAATTCTGTGATGGAGGAAAAAGATGTCAGGGCAGCTTCTATATGTAAAGCAACGCAGGGAAATGTGAAAACGGTTTATAATAATAATTTCATTGGGAAAGCATTTTGACTCATCCTACCATTTGCACAAGCAGTATATTCAACCAACTCTTTGATGTGCCTGATTGAAACCTACCTGTGTGACGCTCTTATTTGCGTCCTGAGAACACTGCAGATGTTTTTTGCATGAACTGCTGACGTGCACACGAGCGTGTGACTCAAACCTGCGTCAGACTCCGTCGTGACTTACCATAGTAATGTCTTCTCCCTGTGAGGGGCTGATTTATCCCACAACACAGCCTTAACCACGTGGAAATCTAAAGTGTGGGCAGCTCTTGTCTAGAGCTCCAGAACGTCGTTGAAGCGCTGAAGTGAAACAAACAAGCCATTACCTGCATCGGTTAATGTTATTATAGTAGACTAACTTGCGACTGGCGTTGAGCTCCTGCGTAAGGCTTTACGCACCATGCGCCTTGTGTGACTGGAAGCTGTGTGATTTCGCATCTTTTTGCACGCAGAGATGTTGCATTGGGAGACAGTGCATGAATGAAGAAACCGTACACTCACTGACTAGGACGTCACAATCCGTTCTGTACACTACATAAGGTAAGAATGGCAGTCTTATAACCATTTGATCAGTTTATCGATTTAGATACGAGTATTTATCTGTGACAAATAGTTTGTTGTAAATTACTCATATTACCAGCGATAGCCCCCCCAATGACGCTCTTGAAATCAAAATGAGAATCAGCTTTCACTGCTTGCCAAATCGTGATTTCGTCGCAACACTGAAAATGAGCATCGCTCATTCATGCTGCGTGTTTGACGATGTCGCGCCAAGTGCGTCCAAATTTGGCTCGAATATGACAAATTCTGCCGTGTTGCTGATTACCTGCTCACTTATATTGGAGTTATTTGCATCTCTGCATGGCTATTAGGCGATTCATTTTGACCTTGACAAGACATCAGAGGTTATTCACACGTTGAGACTAAGTCCTCAAGCTATGGGAGATGGGGCTGGGTGTAATGTGTCTGAAGGATGCCTAAACATGGCCGTGCAGGTGCTGTTTTGTACCTGTCAGAATCAGAGTGTTGTTAAGGATCAAATCACAGAGAGTGGGAAAAGACATCCCAACTGACTTGCTTTTGTCAAAACCATTTCTACCCAGAAATGGCTTGAATGTAAAAGCCACAAATGAAACAGTGTGTGATGGCTGTCTGAATGATTGCAATAGATACCACAACATTACTTGCAGCTTGGCCGCATTCTATGGCCTCCCTCAGTTTTGTCACAGCAGCTCCATGTTAATTGCAGCCATACTTCAGGGAATATTGTCTGAACACTGGGATGGTAAGCAGAGAGATATGAACGCTGTTGCTGCAAGGATGGGGTTTCAATTTTGCAGGAAGAGCCATTGCTTAGCAACCAGACTAGAGAAAAGTGGAGCCTATCTTTGAAGGAGAAACTGAGAACTGGTGCTATTACATCATCAACATCAAACTGTCTAGGGAGAAGTTGAAATATATACTGTAACATCAGGAAAATATAGTAGAATTACACATCTGCCTTCCTGAAGGTGCATCTGTGTTAAAGGGTTGGTCACTGCTGCTCATGTTTCTTCAGAGTCTGCAGCACCTTTTCCTTTGCATTAATGTTCTGAGGCTCCTCAACACTTCTAATTTCATGGTTTGTATTCTCCCCCTTTTCACAGTATCCTGGAAAAATAGAAAACTCCTGTGGCCACTGACTTTGCCTCCGTGAATCATTATCAGTGACAGTGCCTTGTACTGTATGAGTAGTCCGGCTGTCTCTGTAATGTGCCATCTGTGTCAGCACATACTGTGAAACTCTGAAATTTATTATTGTTTTCTGCACATAATTAGCCAGTAGAAATGAAAATCTATCAGCCCCATGTGTCTAAGAGGCCACCATCTTAACCAATAAGTAGTAATGGGGGCAGTTTGTTACTAACTATACCAGCATTTTCGTTTATTGAAAATTAGGGCAAAACACTGTGTGAACTGTCTTACAGAGCTTCAGCTCTAACATCCTAAAATAAAAATAAAAACTCAGCAACGTAACCCAAAAAAATAAAATTTTTGTTTGCAAACATGCACACCGCCTCACACCTCGTTCATTGTGTGTGATGAACGATGATGATTCACTGTCGTGTAGTTGTAGGGTGTTGTGAGAAAAGTCACTGCTGTTCTGGGATCCGTGTTGAGCTCGCAGCATCAGAACTGCTGTCGTGACTGCAGGGGTGCATTGCCGCTGTTGAGGAATGCGATTTGCGTGCTGCTGGTGCGGCCTCTGGGTGTCTTTGAAGTTCAGCCATCAAACCCAGCTATAAGTCGTTCTCAGATTAGAGGCCTCATCTGTGGATCCAACACCTCTGGCTTCTGTTCTCTGACCCTGTGCTGCCAGAATGAAAACTCAGATCTCGATTATCCCACACAGCTAAACCAGTAGTTTGTCAATTATTATGCTGACCTTTATGTAATTAGTTAATATCCTCAAAATCCTTTCTCATAATGTTTTAAGTAATTTTCAAACGCCAGTCTTTGAGGGTCAAAATCTTTTCATTTTGAGTGTTTCAGGCTTGTAGCTACAAATTTCCATTTTAATTTTAAAATGATTAGGTCTCCAGTGTTTACAGGATTTGCTACTCAGTGTACTGAAAATGTAGCACATGCCAAAAAACTTTCAACAGACTAACTTTCCTGAAACTTTATTTTTCTGTAGGACAAACCATTTAAGGCAGGAGCTGACATTAAAGCATTCTGCTCAAAAGACACTGAAGCTGTGTGATAAGAAACAAATACAGACAATAATAACTGATGACATCTATGCATACAGGCTTTAGTTTTATTGCATTGCCTTCTCCTGAGACCAGTCCCACAGACTGGTCACTGCTTTTCATACTATTTACATGACTCAGCTTCAGTATAATGGGACAAAAGCGCTGCAGGTCTGCTACCGTGTTAAAATCTTCAGTGTACTAATGAACAGGAGAAGCAGCACACATGATTCAGAAGCAAAATAGTTAAAGTCATTGGTCATGACTCAAGTTCCTGAACAGTTTTTCTGTGATGTTGTGTAGAGCTGTAAATAACATTTATTTTTATTAATTCATTTCTCAATTAATCAATAAATTGTTTGGTTAATAGACGTTGTTACACATGTGTTATTACAATATCATTACTTGCTATGGTAAAAAAAAAAGTGTTAAAGTTCCTCCTAAGCACCTACATTCCCTGTCTCTTTCCAAACATTTCTCTTCACAGATTTAAGATAAAAAGCACACCCTTCTGTTCTGGGCACATTCCTTGGTTCCCCCCCGATCCTCCACCACCTTCACCTCTTTGAAGGAGCTCCTGTTTTGCAGCCATGCCAAAGAACACCAAGGTGACCCAGCGGGAGCACACCAATGAGCCGGTCACTGAGTCTGTGGCTGACCTGCTGTCCCTGGAGCACCCCATGGACTATAAGAGCAGTCAGATGAGTATGGGCCTGAGTCCTGGCTCTACTGCTCCAGTGAAGCCCCTGCTACCCTCCCCTGACCCAGATGCTGAGGATGGCCGACCGGCATGGAACAACAAGCTGGAGTACATCCTGGCACAAGTTGGCTTCTCTGTGGGTCTGGGTAACGTCTGGAGGTTTCCATACCTATGCCAGAAGAATGGCGGAGGTGGGTGGATGTCTGTACTTGATGTTTTTTAAATGTTCAGAGTCTATCTGAACCACAGAAACCCATGTAAACCAATGGGCAAAGCAAAGTAATATTTGCCTGGTTTGGAAGTTGGTTCTTAACTGGGCCACCTGTGGTGAACATGTGTACTCTCGGGGTGCTGAGTACAGTAATTATCAACACTGAGGAATGCTGTGTTGTTAATGTGATTTTTTATTAGTTCTAAAATAATTGGCCAGATAGGAATAACTATTTTAACAGCACTTAATCTAGATTTTTCCTGTTGTTTGAGCATGGAACTTGTTTGGGGTTCACAGTTTTGTCCAGAATGCTGTCTGTGAGAATCACCACTGGTCTTGGTGATTGATATGAAATTTTATCTCATATTCTATTTTATAGATTTGCATCACATTACAGAAAAAATTTCATCAGCACAATTTCAGCTAATTCAGCTCTTATTTCCTTGGCACCAGATAAAGTGAGTGAGTACTGTTTTGTGTTTTCTATCTGGAGTTGCACCTGGCACAGAGAAAGCACTAACCCACTTTCATCCAAGGACAAATTAATGTGGTGGCATTTTAAACCACCTAAAATTTTGCACTTCTTCAAACTGCCACATCTCAGCACCATAAACATTCACTTTCATCATTATTCTGAACCTTTTACCATCTGGCTTTACACAGCCAGGTGAGTAAGTGTTGTGAGAGGACAATACTTAGACTGAAAAATTGCCTTTCTAAAATAATCCATCATGTGACAAAGCAAATCTCTCATGAAGCTCCCTGATATGTTTTTTTTCACATAACCATGTACTTGATTTCATCATTGGTGAATTTTGGCGTTTTATATTTTTTGGAAATGGCACATGGAAGAATAGGACCCATGTTACAGACATGAGAAACAGGCTGGCAGATGAATATAACAATTTTGTAGCAGCACAAAGGCAAAATGAGAGTCCAAACAGAGGTCAGTAACATGTAATCAGTCCAAATGGAGAAAAAATCCAAAGGAGAAATAGATGAGAGGCAAAGTCCTGGGACAGTCCAATATGGGTAAATATCATACTATGCAAGGAAACACTAGGAAAGCACTACAAAAATAGCTGGAACACTAAGGTATAGACAATCTGGCAAAGCGATAGAGGAAACTAGAAAGTGGAAACCAGTGGAAACTAGTTCTGTACTGTAAATATGAAACCACAGCTAGCTTAGCTTATGTTAACTAGTGAGCTTTAGAAGTGCTGACAGACAGGTTGTGTTGTCATGCTAACAGCTTTAGCCTTGTTTCTACTTTTTAAGCTGCGCTAAACTCACCCGCTCCTGGCTCTAGCTTCATATTTGATGGACAGATATGAAAGTGGTATTGATAGTTTCATCTAAATCTCAGCAAGAAAGAAAATAAGCACGTTTCCCAAATAACTTCAAACTATTCTTTTAAGGCTGGGCAATAATTTGATGTTATTGACTTTCATTCAGTTTGTATGGTGATAATATGATTATATCATATTGTCATTTATCAAAATTCAGTGATTTCAGGTGGTTTCCAATTTAAACTATTTCATTTCAATTTAACCTCTAGAGTCCTGAGCTTTGGAAACCCAAGCTGTGCGGTCCTCATATGAGGACGCAGGGACTCTAGAGGTTATACAGATTAATTACTGAGGTGCGATGATTTGTGTCAGATGCAATATATTACACAAGAAAACAGTTCATTGCAATGAACAGCATTTAGGTGTTTTTGGATATTGTTCTATTCTGCAGCCTTACTTTGGATTTCAGCATATACCTGTTTCCTGTCTATATCATTGCCTGTGCTGCAATTTTTTCTATTTATATAAAAGTCTTCTTCAGTTCACTATTGATGGGGCTGCAGCTGCCTCCTCTTTGATAAATTGCATCCAGTCAACCAATTAGCCAACTAAATGTGCAGGTCAGATGGGCGCTGTCTTCAACATTTCTTCAGCCATCAGCAGCTACACTTTGAGGTACTTTCTCCTCTGGTGTAATACTGTGAAATCCTCCAGTTTAATCTGCATTTATTTGCATCTCTTATTGGTTTCCCTGCCTTATCTCTTTAGTATTATGATTTATTGGTATTATGATGAGATGAGAGGGTAGTGATGGCTAAGATGGAGGAAGTGGAAGAGTAAACACTGGTTTTCTGGGCTTGTGTGGGAGGTGTGTATAAAGAGGGTATTTGAAATGCATGATATAACAAAGCTAAATGTGTGCGTATTTGTGCATGTACTGGTGCAGTAATGACCGTGTATCCCCCCGGAAGGTGCTGCTTTGTCTTGTCTGGGCTTGTCCCAGTGATAAGGATAATATGTCTGTAAAATGCACAGCAAAGTAAAATGTATGGAAACAGGACTTAGCCGAGTCTGCCTCAGTGTGAAGCAGTGGTAGCCACTAACATGATTCTGTCTTAAGAATAGATAATTTAATTAATTTGTATTATTTTATTTGCATCTCCTGGTGGAGCTGGCTTGCAGTATCTTAACATAAACAAAAGAAGACACTTATTGTTCAGTAATGGGCAAATACTACAACATACACTTACAGAAAAAATGCTAAATAAATACACAGGTATATAATTATAATTGTTTACATGGCTCTCTTGTAAATCAGATCTTGAACCCAATGAGACTTTCTGTTGAAATAAAGTTTAACAAGCTAAATATGTCCTATCAAACATAGCGTACACACTCTTAGGAAACTCTTTATCTTCTCTGAAATTTTCAGATTAGGATAGCTATGCTTACATTTATACAGATTTGCTTTGTACACAAGACACAGTAAAAGAAATTGTTAGAGAATTATTGTGTTATGGAATCAGTCTTAAACAATCTATAGTTATTTTAGTGAGGGTAATCATAAACCTCATTATACCAACCTTGAAGATCATTATCCTTGAGTCAAAGATTAGTCAGACGTATTAGAAGACGTATTATACACTGATTCATGGCTATGGCATCAGGAAAGGGTCAAAAGACCACACACACAAAAAGTGACAGCCTTGTGTAAAATATAAAAAATACCAAAATACTTTTCTTGATGCCATAGATATAATCCTGCCATAATATACAGTATAATTACCTCCTTTATTCAAGAATGTTTTTAACCATAGCAATCCAGAAAACCAGAGAAGTGTGAATACAACCTTTAGGAATTATCATCCTCTTGGTGACCATACATAACCGTGCTGATCTATGTTTTCAACTGACCAGGAGTTGTTGAATAACCTTGTTCATCAGTCAACATCATTGTGCCGTGGGCAGTTACGTTGACAGTTTAACTCCCCACTAACATGTTTTATCTGCCTTTGTTCTGTGTTTCTGCTGCTCAGAATAAACACAGACAAAGATCTGTAAATGTCGGCAGCCACACTTCTAACAGTCCAGATAATAATACCCCTGCTGTGTAACATGACAGCGTCCTGTCTTCGCTGCTAGCTATAATAGCCACTTACAATGTTATCAGTATATTCTGATTGAGTCAGACATCACAGTCATTTGATTTCAGTCTGGAAACAGACTGCTCTATCCCGCTGTCTGTCAGTATGAGCCCATCCTCTCGGGCTTTGGGCGGTTTTGTCACCATGGTGCCCCTTCATCTCTTGACGTAAGCAGGACTGTGTGTCACTTGTCTGTGAGCACCTGCTGCTCTCGCTTTATCATCCCTTCTGCAAAAAAAGACTGACCATATCTGACAAAGTGGTGAAAGGTGAAGAAGGAGAGAGAAAGAAAGTAGAGGGGAGTAAAGAGGAAGAGAAAAGATATGGAAACAGGGATCTCAGAGTGGTGGAGGACAAAAAGATGAGACTCCAAAAATAGAACCTGACAGAGAGAATTTAACAATGTCCTTTCTGCTGTTTTACAATGAGCTTTTGTCCTATACATTGATTTCAAACATTCAGAGAATCATAGAGGCTGTACATTCAGCCATAATTCTTTTTCCCTCTGTCCCTCTTCTGTCTCAGGTGCATACCTGGTACCCTACTTTATTCTCCTCTTACTCATCGGCATCCCCTTGTTCTTTCTGGAGCTGGCAGTGGGTCAAAGGATCAGGCGTGGCAGCATTGGGGTGTGGAACTACGTTTGCCCACAGCTGGGAGGCATCGGGGTCTCCAGTCTGATGGTAAGTATCATCCCCCAATCAGTTAATCACATGGGATCTGCTTTACAATATGGCATAATTATATAGTGTTTACCAGTTGTCACTAATGTCTTAATTAATGATTAGAGTTCTTTGTCTGCAGCGAATCTGAGACTTGACTGTGAGTTAGGCACAGCGCAGTGGTGCTTTGAGCTAAATGGTAACATCAATATGCAATATGGCAATTTTAACAGGCTGATGTTTTACAGCTGTTGTGTTTACCATGTTCACCATCTTACTGTAGTTTATCAGCACGCTAACATGTTAATTAGCACTGAAATTAAAGTACAACCGAGGCTGATGGGAATACCATTATGTATAAGTTATGGATGAATTTGGTCATAAACCTAAGTATCTGAATAATTAAAAATATCATGATGATGGAAGGTTAATGAGATCACTGAAGTTAATGCAATTCATGCTTTTGAAAAAATTAATGTCTATACCCAATTTTATGGCAATCATCACATAAAATTAGTAATATTTCACTCAAAACCACAAATGTCTACTTAGAGAAAAAGTCAGAGGCTTGCCAATGTCATTAGGATTCATCCTTCAGTGACCAGGAATGTCTGTGGTAATCCATCCAGGAGCTGTTGAGATATTCCACCTGGACCAAACAATTAACTTTGTCATCCATAAAAATTTCTAAATATAGTTTATAAATGATGTACAGGTCAGTAATAGAATATGTAAAGTCATTCTCCACACACCCAAAATTTATCATTGAAACATAAAACTCAAAAACTCTGTGGGCTCAAATAGTGACTGTAAAATGGTTTTAGTTTCATTCATAAGGTCATCTTGAATTCATATTGATTGTAATGGAAAATCTCCAGTGGTGAAACTGACTTTGCTGGAGGAGGAGTGGTTTGAGATGTTTCTATGGGGATTTTTGGGACACTTTTTGCTCACCATTAACACCTCGTTTTTTTTTAAATATTAATAATACAGTCTGGGCACAGGATACAAAGCGACCATTAACACCTCCTATTGGAATCTATTGTAAATTAGGAGCTTAAAGGAGCCATAAACTGCCTATGTGATTACCTTCTCTGGAGATGGACACTGATTTATTGATAACATCTTATTATTAATGCAAAAACCCTGACACATTTTTCTCCACCTTGCAGTAATTCAATTAAATTCAGTTCATATAAATAAATTCTGAATTATAAATGAATAAAGGTATTAGTGATAATTTATGATCTCTTTGCAAAATGTCCTACAGTATTGTGGCATTGCAGTTATTGTACACGATGAGTACAGCAGCCTGTGAAAAACATGTGAGACATGTTGTGTGTGGAGACAACAAACGTGCTGTGGACTTCAGTCTATTGGACTCCCTCTGCCCAGTCATATTACTTTAAAGCGAGTGGCATGCAAAGACCAGCACTGATTACTGTCACAATCTTTTGCCATCATCAACAAGGGAAGTGACATATCATCTCTCCAACCCATCAGCATCATCAACCTAAAACATAGTCAGTCAGTGGCTGAGTCTGTGATTTATTGTGTCAGTCTTTTTGTTTGTCAGTCATTCTGATAGTCATTTCATCAATCTAGTGTAAAAGACAGGAGGGTGAGGCCTGGGTTGTGGCAGTGAGGTGTGTGGCAGCTTGGATGTGGCAAAAGGAGATTCAGTAGTTATAAATACCTTTCATAGAGGACTGCAGGCTTGGCTGCGGAGAGCAAACAGCTCAATAATTCATCCGCTCTCTGAGTTAAGATGTGTGCTCAGCGTCCATGCCCTGACTCAAGGAAAGGAGTTTACATTAACAAACTGCATACTGTTTGTGTGATTGTTTTTAGAAGTATTGTTGTTTTCTTTCATTTCCCATCAGGTTTGCGGCTTTGTGGGCCTCTATTATAATGTGATTATCGGCTGGGGGAGCTTCGAGAGAAATGGAACCCAAGCCAGTGAGTCCACAACACTATACACTGCACTTGTAATAGTATGGCATGTACAGTACAACAAAACACAAGCGCCAAGAGGTTTTACTATACAAACCTTGACACCAAGTAGAGAAAAAATTAATACTGCAAAGTCCTGCAAAACAACTCTGTATTCAGCAATGGACCTCAGCGGATGCAGATACGCGGGCAGTTCAACAATATGCAGGACTGTGCTTAAAGCTACACAACATGTCTTTGCACTGAAGCAGCATGCCTCACCTTGGCTCTGCAGTCAAGCAGCAGTGTCACTGCGGGCCAACAGCCAGGGCAGTTCTGTTGGCGAGGTCTGCCAGATAGTAAAACCTGGCCCACAGTTTCAGTACCTTGAACGGCCAGTAACTGGTACCCTGTGAGTGAGGCACATGAATGTCCTGGCAGAGTAAAGGGCATCGGCTTTCATTAGCATTCAAAGGCAGGATGTCGACTTGTGATTATGAATGCAGTGGGGAAGCTGTGCAGCATCCAATAAGGCTTAGGTTAGCAGTTTGCAGAGATGGAAAGTAAACAGGTACATTTACACAAGTAATTTACTTACTGTACATACATTTATAAAGTACTTGTACTTTACTTGAGTATTTCCATTTTATTCTACTTTACAAAATTATATTATTTTTTCTCACTATGTGGAAGCTACTGTATAGTTACTTTTTTCAATATAAAAATTATACAAAAAAACATTTTAGCAAATACTTGAAACAAGTTATATTTAAATAAAAAAAACTACACATTAAGACTGAGATTTTGGCAGTGTATGATAGGATTAAAAATATTTTTGCCTCTTCATATTGTCATTATAGTCGTGGAGCCAGAGTGTGAGAGGAGCTCAGCCACCACTTACTTCTGGTACCGCCAGACTCTGAACATCACCAGCACCATCGATGACTCTGGCGGCCTGAACTGGAAGATGACCCTGTCTCTGTTTGTGGCGTGGATCTTGGTCTGCTTGGCTGTCATCAAAGGCATCCAGTCCTCTGGGAAGGTATGGGGTCTTCATGACTTCACAGCAGGGGCTGAGTCTGGAGATTAACTACAGAACATACGATAGACTCCATTTAGAGATGTGCACAAAAAAGCTTTAAGATTCTAATTTTAATCGATGAATCGTCCTCAGTAAGTGTTTCTTTCACCTAGCTAATGCTTTTCAGTCAAAGGTCAGATGCTAAAGCCTGTCATCAGCACTTATCTAGTTTTGGAATTAATCTATATTATGGAAGAGGGAGACATGCAACATTAATAAGCTTAAACTGAACCAAGCAGTAAGAGATGGAAAATGCTCTGTTTGGCAACAACTGCAACAACATCCTGTAATCTCAATCCAGAAAGTGAGTCATATCTCGCAGTGTAACATCCAGTCCACAGTTTCAACACACTAAAGAGTGGGTCACCAAGGTCTGACACAGTTTTTTTTACACTAAACCTGGAAATCCAGTTATCATACTCAGTCACCAAAATGCTGTAAGGTCTGTCTCTCCAAACCTCTCGGAGTCCTCTACACATTTGTTAAAATCTGACAGATTCAGTGGCAAACAAACACAAAGCAGTTTGGAGATTTAATCATCATCTTTGTGTGTGTATTCCAGTGATTCTTCCTTCACGTGTCAGGCCTCATCAAAGCATGTCCATGGCAACACTGTGTGATGCTCTTTCTCCCACCTTGTAGGTGATGTACTTCAGCTCCCTCTTCCCGTATGTGGTGCTTTTCTGTTTCCTGGTACAAGGCTTGCTGCTGAAAGGAGCTGTGGATGGCATTGCGCACATGTTCACTCCTAAGGTGAGACAAAAACAGGGGTGAAGCAA